GGAGCTATGCTTACCTTTCTTGCGAACTTTCTTGCTGACCGTTTCTTCCGCGTCCGTGTCGGTTCCGTATGCTCGAAAAGATACACACAAGAGGACGGCATACCCCAGGGCAGTGTACTGAGTGTTGCGTTGTTTGCCGTCATGATAAATGATGTTGGGGACAGTCTTCCCCAGGCGATTGGTCGCTCGCTTTTTGTTGATGACCTCGCCATCTGGTGCAGCTCTGCCACAGCAGCGTCCATGTCGCGTCAGTTGCAGTTGGCTGTGGCTCGCTTGGAAAGATGGAGCATGCTCAACGGGTTACGGTTTTCCACCTCGAAGACAGTTTCCGTCCACTTTTGTCGACGCCGGCGTCAGTGTCCCGACATGGTGCTTAAGCTTTATGGACAGTCGATCCCCTGCAATACGGCGGCACGGTTTTTGGGATTACATTTTGATAAGCGTTTGACCTACAGGGAGCATCTTACCACTCTGCGTGACAAGTGTTTAAAGGCACTGAACATACTGAAATGTGTGGCACGAACATCGTACGGAGCAGATCGGAAAACACTTTGTTGTTATACCGTTCACTGATACGCTCCAAGCTGGACTATGCGTGTGTTGTATATGATGGCGCCTCTGAGTCCGTAAAACGCATCTTGAATGCGGTCCATCATGCTGCGTTGAGAATCATTACTGGTGCATTTCGTACGTCTCCGACAGCCAGCTTGCTTGTGGAAGCCAACGAACCTTCGCTGGCTGCCCGAAGACAGTTGTTGGGAATGCGGTATGCTTGTAAGCTCGCGCAATTCCCGAACCACCCAACACATGACGCCGTGTTCTCACGCCATACATCCCATGTTTTTCAGTCCGGACAAGCAACACGTGTGGCGCCTTTCTGTGTGCGTGTTCGTAATGTTCTTCATGAGAGCGGCTTAAGTTTTCGGGGTGTGGCACGCCCACGTAGCCTGCCGACCGCTCCGTGGGTGATGGTATCGCCAACTGTCGACGTCTCATTGTCGGAGGTTCGGAAACAAAATATGATTCCGTACTTTGCCAGATCAACAGCTCTGAAGCATATCGAAACATACCAGGGGTTCACAATGACGTATACAGACGGCTCGAAAACGGATACGGGTGTTGGTTCCGCTTTTGTGTGTGGTCCCGATGCGCGATCATTTACACTGCCAGTTCATGCGTCCGTGTATACTGCAGAGCTTGTGGCCATCATTAAGGCGCTTTGTTTTATAGAGGTGGGCGAAGACAGTCTGCACGTGATTTTATCGGATTCCCTAAGTGCCCTTTCGGCATTAAGGTGTTTTAATCCGGTAAATCCCCTTATACAGGATATCTTACTGCGTCTCGACTCTCTGTACCGGGCTGGCAAGACCGTAGTACTTTGCTGGATCCCGAGCCACGTTGGCATCGCGGGAAATGAGCTGGCTGACTCCGCCGCAAAGCGTGCTACTCGTCGTCCCTGTCGCAGAGTGTTTCCGATACCCGCTACAGACCTGTGCTCGGCCATCTCTGCCTTTTTGCGCGAGGAATGGCAGAGCGCATGGGATGTGATAGGCACCAGCAAACTGAAGAGCATTAAACCGATTGTTCAGGAATGACAGTCATCCTATCGAAAGTCCAGACGGGAGGAAGTAACCCTGTGTCGCTTGCGGATCGGCCATACCTATGCTACACATCGACACTTACTATGTCACGACGAACTACCACGATGTCGCCACTGCAACACCACGCTCACAGTGGAACATGTGCTCGTATGCTGCCCCACACTACGCGTCGAGCGTCTGAGGTACTTTGGCCCGGCGGCGCCGTCCCTGGCGCTCTCCGATTTACTATGTGACAGGTCACCATATATCGAACATACCCTCACGTTTGTATCGCATGTTAAGGTCTGCACTTTATATACGCCTGCCTGAATAGTTGATACCGCGTGTAGGAAGTTTTTAGGCTGCCAAAAATTTCGTATCAATGACGCGCTCCTGGTACAACTCAGCCGTCTATATTTCTGAATAATACGTATTTTCTAGTCATTTCATAGTCACACTCCGAAGCTAGTCATTGGGCTGTTATGGGCGCAAAATGACCGCAGTAGTCGACGCGCCCTAAAACTCCAATCAACAACAACAACAGCTTACCTAGGTGGGCAAATTTTATGTCGCTGCGACCCTTGGTTATCGAGATATGGCTCCGGGAAAAAAATCGGGTCGGGCCGTCGGCCGGTCGTCGTGAAACTGACGTCGCTTCTGTCAAACCTGTGGGGATTTTTGCACTATTTTTGCGCCCACCACCCGCTCATTTTTGCGAAATGCAGATTTTAGCGTGACTCACACCAGCCCTGCCAGCAAGCCTTGGTAGTTTTAAAATTTCATTAAAAATTTCTCACCTTGTAACTTGCAGGTGATCCCAATTACCCGGTTTACATGGGCAGCCGAGGATAATTCGAATTAAGATCGGAACGGATCATGCGACGTTAACCCTCTCGGCGAGGGGCGTTTACATGGGCGAAACCGGCTTTACGTCGGATTAACGGTCGATAGTTCGATCCCGCTTAGTTCGAATCAAGGAACGGATTAGGGGCGAAAACTGCGCTTTTGAGTCGAACTGAACAAAACAAGAAGAAAAAAGCCGGTACTCTGAGTATGGATGGCGAATGTCACGAGCCATGGTGGGCGCGAGACAGCTTTGAGGGCGAGGAGGAAGATGGACTCCGTTGGAAAAATGATCTGTGCGGGACTCATAGGCTTTATAGCTACAGCACAAGCCATAGCACTTGAAACACAAGAGTTGCGCAGTCAGCACTGCCAAATCTGTCACATAAGCAGTGTTATATGCAAATTTTTACTAGCGGGAAGCTTTGGCTAGCAGGAAATCAGTATTTTCTTGTATTGGCCAATGACACTCACAAACTTACCACACTCATATCAGTATGCCACCCAGCACCATGTCATCTACTTTGCACAGCCCAAGAAACACATTACCTACTCCCACACTAATGCATTTATGAGCAGCCTGCAACAGTGAGCTAAGCTACAGAAATGACTCATGAATGCTACATAGTTAGTGGCAAAAATTGTGTAACTATGTTGTCTTTCCCCATCCAATGCATCATCAGTACCTGAGGGCAGCATTGCCATTTAGACTTGGCATGGACTGGCAAGTCAGAATGCAGCTATTTGCTTTCTTGTCATACTAGGGTTGAAATACTGCTTTGATATCCTTGCAGTCAACAGCATTGGCTGATATGGACTGATGGCTAGGTGGCACAAACAGCTGTGTTCGCACAGTCCAAAGATCATAACATGTGAACCAGCCCCAGAGCTGTCATGACAAAAGCAATCTGGGCTCAAAATTCATAACAAATGATTCATTAAAACAACAGCCCAATTATCCACCTCATGGTTTGGAAAGATACATGTCACAAAAAAGCACCAAGGTAACATATTTACTCACCAGTACAAAAACAGGTAATGAGTGCACCACAGATGTTCTCTGCACATCATGTGGCATTATGTTAGGTTTACTTAGTTTATGCACTGTTTTCTTCCACATGAAATGCACAAACCTGGATTTGACAGAGTACTGATGACAGCCATTTTCATCCAGTGCTCACATTTGCTGTCTTGACATTTTGAAACCATCACTGGGCAATTTTGGTCCCATCTTTAAAAATAGTTCACATTCTGCACTGACTGCAATGATCTATTGTCTATATTTGTTGATCCTTTGCATCATGCAGGAATTATTGAGCTACCTATCTCACACACATTAAACCAACAAGCAACAAACAGCCTAACTGCATCAAAAACAAATATTCCAGCCCCTGCATCCTTGCCAGTTGGTCTACCAGTGTGACATAACTTCATATTTCCTTGACAAGCCAGTCGCCAATATTCAGCACACCCCTCCTGCCAATAGGTGGTCAACCAAATATTCAAGTCACAGGAGGAAATGTCTGCAAAATCAATCCTGGGGCATTTATGTATTTGCTTAATGAAAGAAACTATTGGTACTGTCTGCAAGAATTGTTGCACAGTTGAATTACCTACCTCATGGCCTGCAAAGACACCATCACAAAAAAGCACCAAGGGTGACATATTTAATCACCAGTACAAAAACAGGTGATGGTATGCAACACAGATGTGGTCTTCACGCAGCATGTGCCGTCGTGTTAGGTGTTAGTTTATGCACTGTTTTCTTGCACATGGAACACACAAACTTGGATTTAGCAGAGTAATGATGACAACTATTTTCATCCAGTGTCCATGTTTGCTTTCTTGATGTTTTGACCCCATCATTGGGCAATTTCGGTTCTGTCATTAAAAAAGTTCACATTCTGAGCTGACTGCAATGATCTATATTTGTTGATCTGTCATATCATGCAGGAATCTTAAGTTACCTTTCTCACACAAATTAAACTGACAAGCAACCAGCATCCTAAGTTAAGGAACATCTGCAAAAACACTCCTGGGGCCTTCAGGTATTAACATAATGAAAGAAACTTAGAGGCATTCTCTGCAAGAACTTCGAGCAATCCAAAAATTAAAGTGAGAACAAGTCATAGCTATATAAAATGACCATGTTACCTCCATCTGGCTTTTGGAAGCATGGAGCCTGCCCCAGATGTAAATTAATCTAACCTTTAGGCGGAAAGATAACACCAAACACCGCCGACGCCTGCTGTCTGCATAGATCAAGCGCCTAACAAGGCTAAATTACGTGAGCATTTCTGTGCTGCTAGCCACTTAAGGCCCTCAATAATTAGAGTAGTTTTAGCAGCATGGTGTCAACTTCACCTTCCCTTCCCTTTTCCTTTACCATCTTGGACTTGGACCGTCTCGAGCAATAGCTAAAACCCGTGGAAAAGCGGCAACACCAACCAAAGATGAAACGGCCGTGAACAGAACTGCGCGCGCCAGGCTTTTTTTTGTTTAGACAGCTGACGGCCGATAATTCGAACGAAATCCCTTCCTGAACGGATGATCCTCTCACAGGAAGGGATTTCCTTCGGCGCACGATTCGAATCTGCGGAACGGCGCGTGAGTTGTATACATGGGCCAGATAGTTCGGATCGAGGACGGGTCCCGGCTCAATTCGAATCACAGCTGCCCATGTAAACAGGGTAGATAAGCCGCCTCAGGAACCCAGTCCCAGGTGTCCACCCATGCTGGAGCAGGGGGTCTGAACAACTCGGACACCATTGCCAGAGCCGGCATTGATTTGAATGTGTTGGAAATACCCTAATAATCAGCCACCAAGTCGCAAAATTGCTGAGATCACGGAGATCAATCACGCACTGAGATCAATCACCGGTAACCACATGGTCTATGCTGGCGGAGCTCCACTGAACGGCAGTTGATCATTTAACGACTAAACGTATTTCACACGCCGTGTGGCAATTCTGGTGCCGGGTACAGGACTGTTTCGCTCGTGCCCAACGGGCCCACCTGGTGAGCCTCTGCACCTTACTCCGGACATGATACAATCACCCAAGATAAGAGTCACTTGACGACTGGCGGCCTAGGTAAGCTGCTGCGCATCGTCATCACACACATTGCACATGGCACCTAGAACTAATTAAACATGCTGAGGGTATTCAAAAATGTCTTGCATCTGGCAATTATGTAATTGTTTGGATTCTACAGTGGATTCAGCTGATTCACGCCATTATAGGAAGTGGGAAGCCCCGGCCGGCAATGCCCAAGATTCCCTGTACACGTTGGAAGCTAGACACCTTTGGAATGGCGAGCTGCTGATTTTCGCCTGTCTCTGGCTGTTGAGACCAGCTAGTGCATGGTATTTACTTTAGCTACTGCTAGAGGCTACATTACACTCAGTGGAATGTTGGCAGGGATATTTTGTTTTCTCTCCAGGCCTGCAATCATGAAATTTGTGTTAACTTCATAGAACCCAAACTGAACTTGGGTATTGTTTACTCATCACTGCATTTCAGCCTCCAACAAACTACAGGCTTGTCTGCTGTGGTGCTGACCCATTGTCTGTACCCAGTTGATTATCCTGTTTTTTCAAGTGTGCTTTTGAGATTTTTTTCACTTTGATGCTATAAGCTATACAACAACAATGTTAGAGATTAATGGTACCCCACCCACCAGTGAGCATTGAGCAATGCATTAGATATTTGATTATAGAAGGTGGTGGCACCAGCTGTTTCAATGTGCACTCTTAGTGTATGAAACTTTCTAAGATGTGTGTTCAAAGAAGTTGTTTTAGTGTTCATAGAACCTAAACTGAACTTGGGTATTGTTTACTCATCACTGTGTTTCAGCCTCCAACAAACTACAGGCTTGCCTGCTGTGGTGCTGACCCATTGTCTGTACCCAGTTGATTATCCTGTTTTTTCATTGTGCTTTTGTAATTTTTTGTCATTTTGATGCTACAAGCTATACAACAACAATGTTAGAGACTAATGGTACCCCACCCACTAATGAGCATTGGGCAATGCATTAGATAGTTAATTATAGAAGGTGGTGGCACCAGCTGTTTCAATGTGCACTCCTACCATATGAAACTTTCAAAGATGTGTGTTCTTAATTATTTGGATATCCTACTCACCTAGGCCACATGCCATCATGTCCAGCTGTTAAGTTTGCCATTTCCTTGTGCTTCAGAGTGGTGGATGCTGGGCACAGCCAGATCACAGTCTTTGCCAGGGACCCGCCTCAGCCAATGTCAGGGCCGTTCAGCCCGGAGCTGCCTGTGGGCGGGGTACCAGATGGACCGAGCAGCGGCGTTCGTGGACGGGCGGCTGGCTCGTGCCGCGGCCGCGCGGCACCCGCGCCGAGCGCCACCTTTCTGCAGGCGCTGCGAGCCACCATGTTAGCCGAGTCCTGGGCTGACAGGGCCGGGCCGGCGTGTCAGCGTCGCGGGAGCCACCAGGATGAGCTGGACGAGGCCGAGACGGACGAGCTGGCGCGCCGGCCGGCGGCGCTGGCCTGGCCGCGCGACTCTGACGACGAGGTCTGCTTCGGCCTGCTGCCCTGCGTGGTTGGTGGTCTACAGTTCTACGGCACCCAGCTGGAGAACGGCCAGCCGCTGCGCCTGATGCGCCACACCGCCACCAGCTTCGGCGCCAACGGCCTGCGCGCGCTCAGCCTGCAGGGCGAGACGGTGGGCCACCTAAAGCGTGAGTTTGCGGCCGTGCTTGCGCCACTGGTGGATGAGGGCCGCGTGCGGCTGGAGGCGCGCTGCGCGGTCGGTGCCGGTCGCCGCGGCCAGTTCTCGGCCGCCGTGGATGTGACGGTGCACGGCCGGCCGGACGAGCGGGACGCCGTCATCGCCCGGCTTCGCGAAGTGGGTTACGCGCTGCAGCAGCCCGAGCCGGAGGGAGCCCTAGCGTGCACGCCGCTGGCACCGCTGGACGTGCAGCAAGCGGTGGACGGGCGCTGGCAGGAGGTGCAGCGCGCGCTGCCCGAGGTGGAGCCGTGCGCAGCCGTTTCCAGGCGTCTGTACCGACACCAGAAGCAGGCGCTCGGTTGGATGATGGCGCGCGAAGCGGCCCCCGGCCTGCTGCCGCCCCCGGGGCCAGACGGCGGCGCGCCTGCCGCCCGCTACAGCTCGCTGCGCGGCGGCATCCTGGCGGACGACATGGGCCTGGGCAAGACGCTGCAGGTGATTGCTCTGGTGCTGACCCACTTCCGCGCCGGTCGACCGCTGGCCGCTCCGGTTCCCGGCAAGCGCCGGTGCGCGCCGGCCGCTGAATCGCTATTGGGGCGAGCGAGCGCGGGTCCAGCGTCCGTTCGCCCGGCGCCGCGGCAGCCCGTCGCCGTGAATTGGGACAACTTCAAGGCGCGGCTACGCATGGCATGCGCGGCCGGTAAGGAGGTCCAGCCGGCCCGCGCTCTGCCGGTTGCGACCGGTGGCGACGACGGCGGGAAGAAGAGCGGCGCTCGTTTAGCGGAGTCGAGCTATGAGGACGAAGGCACCGCTCAGAAACGCATCAAGCCTGAAGCGGGTGGACGAGATTCTGCTGGACTCTGACTCTGACTCCGGTGGGGACGGTGCTGGTGCTCCCGCCCACAGCAGCGTTGAAGAATACATACCGGTACCGCCCCACAGTGACCCGCTGGGGCGCACGTACCACGACGGGCCACGCACCACGCTCATCGTGTGTCCCCTCTCGGTGCTTCCAACTGGGAGGCACAGCTTGAGGAGTCCGTACACAGCCACGTGCACCTGCGCATCCGCAGCTACCACGGCCCGGCGCGCGACGCGACCGGCCTGCAAGGACTGCGACCTGGTGCTTACCACGTACGGCACGCTAGCGCGCGAGCACGCCAAGCAGGGCAGCGCCCTCTTCCAGCAGCTCTTCCTGCGCGTCGTGCTGGACGAGGGCCACGTGATTCGCAACGCGGGCTCCTGCGTGGCGCGCGCCGCGTGCGCCCTGCGCGCGCAGCGTCGCTGGGTGCTGAGCGGCACGCCCGTGCAGAACCGGCTGAGAGATCTGTGGTCGCTGCTTTGCTTCCTGCGGCTGGAGCCGTTCAAGGAGCGCGCCTACTGGCAGACGGCTGTGGAGAAGCCCGTGCTGCGCGGCGACCCGGCCGGCGTGCAGCTGCTGCGCCAGCTGATGGGCGAGGTGGCGCTGCGCCGGCTCAAGGACCAGCTGGTGGACGGCCATCCGCTGGTGGAGCTGCCGGCGCGCCAAGTCTGTGTACAGGAGGTGACGCTAGGCGATGAGCAGCGCCGTCGCTACGATGCTATGGAGGCGACGAGCCGGGCCGGCGTGGCGCGCCTCATCAGACAGGGCACCGTGGTGCAAAGCCAGGTATTCATCCTGGTGCTGCTGCTGCGCTTGCGCCAGATATGCTGCCACCCGGCGCTGGTGCCCGACCGCGAGCTGATCCTTCCCGACGATGACCCTCCCCCGCCGGATGGGCAGCCCAACCTCCAGATGGGCGCGGAGGTGAGACTACCGGCCGGCCGGCCTTGTCGGCCTGCCTGCTCGTGCGAACCTCCTCCGCCGTAGGGGCGCGGGCGTCTGGTGCGGGCGGTCTGTATGCGGTGCCGTGCCGTGATGCGCCCTGCCCCGCCGCAGGAGCGAGACCGCCGGAGCGGGCGGTGTGTATGCTGTGCCGTGCCGTGACGCGCCCTATCCCGCGGCAGGAGCGCGAGCGTCTGGTGCGGGCGCTGATGGCCGTGCTGTCCTCCGGCTCGGAAGAGGAGTGTCCCGTCTGCTTCGAGCCGTTGCGCCGGGCAGTCATCACTGCCTGCGCGCACGTGTTCTGCCGGCCGTGCATGGACGCCCTGCTGGGGGCGGCGCCGGAGGCGGGCGCGCTCTGTCCGATGTGTCGCGGTCCGCTGCGCGCCGACCAGCTGGTGGACGCGCCCGAGCCGCCGGTCAAACAGGAGTCGGCTGAGCCGCCGCCGAACGCCGACCAGGGCGACTTTGTGTCCAGCGCCAAGGTCTGTTCGCGGGCGCGCGGCCGCAGCCGGGCGGCGAGCTCAGCTGCGAGGTCGAGGTCGAGAGCGACCAGCGGCCGCGCTTGCCGTGGCCTCACCCACACATGGTGGCCCGGCCAAAGCCAGCGTCCAGCTCTGATACTGATAATGCTTTAGAAGTCTGAAGTCTGACACGGTGGCCTTTGAAGTACATTCGTTGCCGCTGATACCCTGGTAATGTTAAAATATGTGTTTGCTTATCATCTGATGACCGAGATCGGGTATGTATGCTGTGTGCGGACTCTCACCTGTCAAGCATGGGGTGGTGTTGTTTTTTGACGGGCCCATCGGGCCCGCAGCGTCACTGGAGCACTGTTCTGACCCCCCGCCCTGTCTCGACAGATTGACGCGCTGATGGCCGGTCTGCAAGCTATGCGGAAGGAGGATGCCCGCTGCAAGGCCGTGGTGGTTTCCCAGTTCACGTCGCTGCTGAACCTGTTGGAGACCCCGCTGCGCCGGGACGGCTTCGCCTTCCGCAGGCTCGACGGCACCATGAGTCTGGCGCAGCGGCGCCGTAGCATGGCTGAGTTCTCGGCGCAGGGCGACACGGCGCCCACCGTGTTTCTGCTGTCGCTGCGGGCCGGCGGCGAAGGCATCAACCTGACCGCGGCCACGCGCGTCTTCCTGCTCGACCCGGCCTGGAACCCGGCCAGCGAGGAGCAGTGCTTTGACCGCTGTCACCGGCTGGGCCAGACGCGGCCCGTCACCATCGTCAAGCTGGTGGTGCATAACAGCGTCGAGGAGCGCATGCTCGAGCTGCAGGAGAAGAAGCGGACTCTGATGCGCGACGCATTCGGCCTGGCCGTCCAGACGGCCAAACAGCGGCGCTTGCAGTTCGTCCGCGACGTGCGCACTCTCTTCAACCTGTAGAGAACGGACTGTGCCGCATCCCACCGGGCTGGACGTGGAGCACCCTTGGTTGTGGCGCACTCCGCCGCTTTGGCGTGGACCACTGTTTGCTGCATTCCGCTGATTCGACGCGGGTGATTGTGACGCTACTTCACCACCTCACCTCGACTAGATGTGGGCGACTGCCTTGCCGCGGGCCACAAATCCGGCCCGGACCGCCGTGCCGTGCTGAGCACCCATCGGACGTGATCCGCGAGATGTCTGTTGTACCGATTTTCTATGTTTTATCGTATGCCACCGATTAAACGAGGGTGGAACCTGTGCCTTAGGAGGCTGAAAAGACGTGGTCCATTTGCACGGGAGATACTGATAAGCTTCATTTTTGGTGTGAGAAGCGTTGACCTTCCGCGGCTTTAGCGTCGGGATAGGTCAACGATTCTGGGCAACGGCACTGGGCACGCCATCGCCAGTGCTGGAGCCAGTGCTGGAGGTGAAATGCCAGCGTCCAAGCCACATAGCTGTTAGCTTGCTGGGTGCTGCGCTGATCAAACAGGCACCCGAGCTTTCAAACACACCGTCCAGTCGTGATGCGGGAACTTCCACGCAGCCAAGTCTGTGGTACTTTCGATTTGTGAAGTGCTCGTGGGAAATGTGCCCGAGCGTCATGCGTCTATCCAGTACGGTCGCATTGTCGCCCACCTTGTCACCGCTTCACGTGTTGTGCGAATGTCCCGTTGTATCGCCGCTTGGTCTGTTACGGACACACTGGGGCAACTGAATGTTGTACGGACGGCGCGACTGGCCGTGCCGTGGCAGCGCCGCAGGAGCTCCCCGTGTGCAGGTGGCACGTGCTGCTGCTGTGCTGAGAGTCGCGGGAGCTGGGCGCCGCTGAGAGAGGCGCCTCCCCTGTGCCGAGCTGCGCGCCGGGTGACGACAGGCCGCGGCCGCCGGTGTCGGCCACCGGCTACCTGGCCGTGGAGGTGATTTGATAGTCATGTGCGACTGCCTGGCTCCCGAGAGCCGCCGGAGGACCACATGCGTGGCTACACTATTGTGTGACATCAGCTTTGGGATCTATTGTCCGGTGTTTGTGTCTGCTCAATCGCATTACGCACGCATGCCAGCCAAGATGACGCTTATGCACAGTACAAATACAGCTGTGAAGCATTTCCTCTGTCTTGTTCACCAGCCGGAGGGGATGGCTCCCCGCCGGCCGTTGCACGGGTTCAGTGCAGCTCTGCGCAAGTGACGTACCATGTTGGAAGTAGGCACGTGGTTTGAGACCGATTAGGCTCACCACGCAGTGGGCTGTGTACCGATCATGTGTCGGCCTGTCTGTACAGCGGCGGGTCGCTCCGGTGTCCAGACGTCCCGCACTCCGCTCGAACCAGGCTACGCCTGGCGGGCCCCGTCCGCACGAGACTCGACACACACCGCTGGCCGGCCCGGGTGCGTGTCGAGAGCTGCGTGTTGGCGTTCGTCACACTTGCCAAACTCGGCAACCGTCCGTCCTGGCGCGGGCGGCTGGCATACCGCTCGTCGCCCTGACGTGGGTTCTGTCCCTTGTGGAAGACTACGTCCCGCTGTTTTGGCAGGAATAATTCCCTCGATCCATCACAAAGAAACGTTCTAAGCCATGGCGCGACCTCCGTGTGGGCGGACTGGTGCTTGTCCGTCCGGCACCTGCCGACTGCTGGCGGCAGTGCAATGTCGGAAATACGGCAAAAGGAGTCAATACGGAGCCCGGCGGGCGAACGCTGGCTGGATGCGGGCGGGCGAGCGCAGACTCGCTGTGGACACGGCGGCAGAGGGCGGCTTAAAGAAAGGCCGCGCTGTCCCCCGCGTCGGGCCGCACCATGGCGGCGCCGATCGACGAAACTCGCAGCCCCGGGCGACCCTTGGTCGGGACTGGGCGGGACGTGAAGGTGGGTCGGACAAGCGCGCAGACACTGACGTGGGGCTTGGGCTGGATCCGGTCACGCCTTCGCTCTCGGGTGACCATGCGGCCGCCGTAGTCCCTGACGCTCCCTGCGAAGGTGCGTGCCTGTGCCTGCGTCCAAAAAACACATTCCGCATCCCCCGGACGTGCCCTGACCGCGACAGGCACGCGACACGAGCGGTCGTATGGCCGAAAACAATGTCGCGGGCCCGCCTGAGAGCTTCAGCAGCCGGTGCTGGGCCCCGCGTCAACATTTCGCCGAAGATGCCGGAATGTGCTCTGGGTAAATGTGTGCGACCGTAAACCAGAGTCTATCAGTCCATATCTTTACTAGTAATCAGCTCAGAGTACATCACAAACCGACAAAAAATATACATGTGGAACGTCCTCATGCGATAGCTACTGGCGTTCGCTCCACCTCAGTGTCTTGCAATCCTTATCACGGAGCGACCCGCGTGACCGGGGTCCATTCCTACCCTACGCGCAGCCACAACACCACAGGGCACTGAGGCACTCAGTAAATGTCCCATTAGCTGAGATGGTTCGGTGCCGCAGAGCCTGAAGCTTCAGGGCGTGGTCATTCACCGCGCAGTTCCCTTGTGCTTCTTCCTGGTGCACTGTGCATACGCGCGACAGACGCCAGAAGACACCCGAGCCTGGAGCACAGGGGTGCTAGAAGCCCATGACGTCACCGGCGCCCTTCCTGTAGTCCATGTTGCCGTAGATGGTGCCGTCCTCCTGACTGAGGACGGGCACCACCGAGCGCTGCTCCCACTGTTCCATGTTGTGGCCCTTGTCGGACAGGTAGGCCACCGTTGTCTGAAATTGAGACGCGCCTCTGAGCGGGTGACTGGCAGTGGCCCCCGAATGGGACAGCTTACCTAGCTAGGACAGGAGCTGAGCCGGCTGAGACGGTAGCTAAGCTAGCTGTGACGGGAGCTCAGCCAGCTGTGACAGCCCAGCTAGCTGGAGCGGAAGCTGAGCCGACTGAGATAGGAGCTCAGCCAGCTGTGACGGTTGCTCAGCCGCTGGGACAGGGGCTGAGCCAGTTGGAGCGGAAGATGAGCTAGCTGAGACGGAGCTGAGCCAGCTGTGACAGCTTAGCTAGCTGGAGCGGAAGCTGAGCCGACTGAGTTAGGAGCTCAGCCAGCTGTGACGGTAGCTCAGCCGGCTGGCACAGGAGCTGAGCCAGCTGGAGCAGAAATGAGCTAGCTGGGACGGGAGCTCAGCTAAGTGATGGAGGAGGGTGGGTATCACTGCTGACTCGGATCCACACCTGTTCTAGCTCTCGCTCACGCGTAGAAGGGTGGCGCGGCACCTCACCTTTGTGGCTGCTTTTGCGGACATTACCGTGGGGCTGGTCTCGCTCACCATAGCTTAACACATGTTCGGGTGGCGGTCAAGTTGACCCTCGGAGGTTGTTCCATGATAATTTCCAAACATTGCGACGTAGCCACGTCCAACTTTGCAAGGTTGTCAGCTATCACATAGCCAATCTACTGGTCTAAAAAGGCTGATATATCTTGTAAGGTCGCTGGCCTGTACCAAGTCAAAATCAGGCCATGGCTGTCAACTGTCAGTGGTGGTAATTTATACCTGGGGAACCGTCAATCTGTTGCAACAACGGAGTGTAAGACGAAGTCATCACACTGAGGTAGTCTCAATGATGACGATGAGATCTCATGATCATGAGATCATCATGAGATCAATGATATCAATGAGACGGCTGAAATAAGGATTACGACTTCCCGTCTGGTCAAGGTCAAAGTCATTTACTGGAACCTGCTTGATGGGTCAGCTTTTGACGCTCATTTTGGATTTCTTACTCACAAGAATAGCAAAATACTTGCGATTTTGAATTTGTGAAAGGCAGAGAAGGTAACTGGCTTAAAACGATCGCGATCAACCTTTTACTTTGAAGAGCATACCACCTCGGGGGGTTCTCAACGCCGCTTATGAATTCAAATATCACAACAACCCTGAAGGCTTTCGGCGATTTTCACTTTCTATGGCCCAAGTAAGGTCGCACGCTTATAAGTACCCCGGTGACTTTTCGCGAAGAAAAATATATCTAGGTAAGAACGGTTGCGTGAGGTCTGAGGGCACTTCGGACACCGATCTGGAGTTTGACCTTGTTTGACCCGAAAGTCTTGACCAAGGGACATCAATATGTGACAAATATCAGTTCACGTGGAGACATAACTAAATTGTGGGGACATTTCAGTGAGGTGGAAGACAACTGAGACTGCGGGGTCAGGTGTACGACCCGAGCAGGTAGTACTCAACTGGCCACCCTGGCGCGTGTTAAGATCACTCGAGACGTTTGCGGCTGGGAAACAGCCCTAGTCAGCGTGGCGCACTGGCGGCCGGCCACGCACCTGACTCCACCACACAAAACAGCACACACGCACCGGAGGAAAGTCAGCGTCGTAGTTGAGCGTCATCGGGAACAGCTGGTGGTGAATCCGTGGGAAGTCAGTGGCTTGCTTCAGGTCTTCGCCCAGATACAGGTGACGGAAGGCCGTCTGGAACGTGATCAGGTGCGTCAACAGCCGGCGGGTGGAAAATTGGAGCGCAGCGCACGCTGAATCGGCGTGTATGCGCATTCCCTCAAAAAGATGTAGATACCAGCCATGTTTGCGTCTGCGACGCACACAGAAATACCAACGGTGAGCCAAAGCTCCGATCGCTGAATCGCACAACCAACGAAGAACAGGTGAGTTAACACTAACCACCAGCCACCTGCATCGGAAACTAAAACGATAACCGAACTGCATTGGAAAGATCCCGTCGTCGTCCCATGGCCGTCTTATCGCATGCCCCAATATCCCGGCACGTCAGTGGTCTGTTCCGCAGGAGAAGAGTTCCGTCAGTGGTCTGTTCAGCACTCCCGAGAACGATGACGGGGATGTGCGCTCTGCCCAGTTCAGCTGCGTCCAGCCGCAGCAGTTCCGCAGCACCACTCACCAGGGCCGTGGCGGAGGTGATGCGCGTGCCACCAGCCCCTCCCGTCACCAGCCGCACGTCACCAGCCGCGTCCACAAACAGCGACGGGCACATGGACGACACCATCATTTTGCCTGCAACAGAGCGGCACACGTCAGATACCGCCGCGTCTAATCGAGGAAACTGTTGGACACCGCACGCTTACCGGTATGCCGGAAGCCAGCTGCCATCCAACACGTGGAGAGCGTGTGGACCACTCAACTTCATTCGAGTGTGAGAGCACCTCCACGGGGTGCTTACGTCAGATGACCGACACCGTGGGGCACTGACCTGGCTCGATGAAGTTCGTGGGCGACGGCGGCAGGCCGAAATAGTTCTTGGCGCCGGGCGTGGAGAAGTCGTCCATCTCGTCATTGAGCAGAATGCCTGTGCTGGGCGACAGCACCTTGGCGCCGAAGTGCAGGTTGACCGTGCTGGTGACGGAGACGGCGCTGCCGTAGCGGTCGATGACGGACACGTGCGACGTGCCGGCGTCCTCCACCGGCGCCACGTGCACGCCGTAGTGGTCCGGGTCGTTGTAAGTGCGGCTGTCGTCGATCAGGCCGCGCACGAACTCGGCGTAGTCCGGCGATGTCAGGTTCGCCATCAGCTGGCGGCGGGGCGGTCGTTCAGAGCTCGGGACGGACCCGTCAGCGGCACGGCACGCGCAGCGACACTGCACGGACGACACCGGTCAGCGGCCAGTGAATCCCCGCTTACCTCGGAGATGTCAACGAACTTGGGGTCGGCCAGGTCTGTCCGGCGCGCGTACGCGTACTTGAACGCCTCGGCGATCCTGTGATACATCAGGTTTAGTTCTTCCTTCGTCTCTGGAAGGCCGAATAACAGCATGAGGAAGTGGAAGACGTGGAAGACGGCGTTCGGTGCGCGTGAATGATAGTCAGGCGGTGCGCAAGTCAACAAGTCAATCACAATAAGTCACAGCAGCCAAATTTCCGGAAAGAAATCCTGTATATCAAGGCAGTATACCGTAAATCAAGTCGGCAATGGTGGTTCCGACAACTTTGACGTTCTAAAAAGGCAACAGACGGAGCCGCTGGTACACACGTCTCGGTGACTTGCTTCAGCAAAAACAGCAGGCGTGTTCCTGCGTGAATTAGCTAGACATACCGCACCAACAAGATCTTATGATAGCGACGTTGGGAGCGTCGAGTACCCTAAGTTATTTCTGCATTATTTTACGCGAACTATTAGCGCTTTTCTCGTCATTAATGTTTGATAAAAATACATCCACTCACTCGGCCTGTTCTTGCCGTACTGGAAGCCGTCCAGGATATTGAATACGAATGTGAGCAGGGAGCCTGACCCGGGCGGGGGCACGCCGTACAGGGCCATGCCGCTACTGAGGCGCGTCGAGGTCGGCTCCACCCAGCGGACCCTGCAACAGGCGCGCGCAGTGCAGGGACACGCGGTACAGGAACACGCTGTACAGGGACACGCGGTGCAGGAACACCTCGTCCAGGGACAATCGGTGCGGGATAACTAGTGCAGGACTGACCGATGCAGGAAATACTGGTGCAGCGACACCTAGTGCAGGGATTATCTATATAAGTATATCGAATGAAAGAACACCATGCACACGGACACCTGGTACAGAAATGCCGGACACAGGAATACCCGCCGTAGGCACACCTGGTGAGTGCGGACCTACACACGGCAGACGCGGAACAGGGACAATCTGCGCAAGGGTACCTGACACAGGGACACTTCGCACAGGGACAGCCACTGCAGGGACATACAGGGACACCCAGGGCCGTGAGTGGTATCGCGAAGCACAGGTTGACTCGCAATTGTTTGGGTTACCACCAGTTGTCACCACACGATCCTGCGGGGCGAGGAGGCCAATGACAGCTTCGCAGCTTTTATTCCACTCATCGTGTGTGTGTGTGTGTGTGTGCGTGCGTGCGTGCGTGCGTGCGTGCGTGCGTGCGTGCGTGCGTGCGTGCGTGCGTGCGTGCGTGCGTGCGTGCGTGCGTGCGTGCGTGCGTGCGTGCGTGCGTGCGTGCGTGTGTGTGTGTGTGTGTGTGTGTGTGTGTGTGTGTGTGATTGGGGCTTTACGACGCACTCAGTTGCTGAGGCTATACGGCGTCGTCTGCCTCTCACCCTGGCAGGAAGGGCGGGCACCGCGGGGAATCGAACTCCGTACCTCTGGTTTCCCAGACGCGCAGTGGATTAACACAGACGTGTTGACCACTACATTACCGGCACCCTCATTCCACTCATCAGCCAACAGTGGCGAGGTGCAGCGATACAGAGACATTGTTTCGGCTGGTGCATACGGACGTCAGACGGCTCCATGATGAACACATACGATACTGCCTCGCCATACATGTTGCAGCAATTAACTGCGTTCCCCGCCGTATCGCACGAAAATGGTCTATGTGTGAGTACCTACAGCCGCTAAACGATAGCTAGTTTAACATAATTGTTTCACGCTGACAAAAAAAACATATTGTTCTTACTTGTAGTCTTTAAGGTCTTGCAGAGTGATGATGCCGCCATTTTTCTGGATGTCCTCCACCAGCAGCTTTCCGACTTGTCCGCCGTAGAGGGCGGCGGCGCCACCGTCGGCGATGGCCTGCAGCGTCTCAGCCAGCTTCGGCCGCTGAATCAGGTGGCCCTCCGGGAACGGCTCTCCCGATGTCTCGTTGAAGAAGACAGACCTGAAAAACGGCTCTGAGGTCAACAAGCCAGCTGAAGTATGACATCATCGCCACGAAGCGGAGATGTCGCGTGCGGGTTATAATACGTTATTCTGGATCTAAATACAGTACCCATGACTTCAATCATGCGTATCATCACACATCGGTTTGGGAAAAGAACGACACGCAACATATGTACACGTAACCATACATAACTGAACATAACAATGATTAAAACCGACATTTCATGCAGTTTTGTAGTGATGCCCATTCACCTATACCGTACAGTTTTCTGCGTCTCCGTCTGCTCTGATCCCCGAGACTCGACAGCGGTTTTCTTAAATGCCTCGAAATCCGTGGCTTTTGCATGACAGCGAGTGACCGTCTCCAAGCATCGAACCACGCGATTGTTCATTTTACTTTCTGTGTTCTCCTTAGTCAGGTTCTGTTATTTCCATGTCTCGACACGCTGGATCATCGATACCACGACCTGATTTCCACCGGTGTTCTTTGCTCCGCATTTTGAATGTTTATTGCTCCATCGCGGTGATATCCCATTATCACAAAAACGCGCCTCACCAAACAGGTTGCTTTCAAATGTCCAGTAACTCAAAGAGCAGTTCAAGAAGCGCGTTTCTTATCGGTGTAAAATGCATGCTGTACGACCAGCAATTCTTGAAGTCATCACCTTTTATAAAGTACGGCTGCCGGGCTAGGCTACCCCAATGGAAACTGCATCATAACTCAGGTCAGGCTCATTTGACCAGAAACCCAGCTTGAAATAACGTGCGATGGAAATATGTACCTGACTTATCCCTCCCATCAGCCAGTTCTCGCAGCCCTCGTTCATCGTCCCGGCGTGCCTACCTGAAGTACTTATCCTTATACAGATCAGCTTTCTTCTTCTGAAGGTGATTGTTCTGATGTTCGTTGATTCTGTAGCCAGTCCGACACAGCTCGATGCTGGGCTGAAACAGCTCCTTCCAGGCGATCTTGCCGTGCTTCTGGTGGGCCGCCCAGTAGCCAGCCTACCTCTCCCGGCACGCCAGCGGCTCTCCAGCCTGAGAAGACCAGCACACGCGCACAAAAGGGTCAGGACAGACAGAGCACCTCAGACAGGGTCAGGACAGTTAGAGCACCTCAAGAGAGGTCAGGACAGGCAGAGCACCTCAGGCAGGCAGGCAGGGCCAGGACAGACGGAGCACTTCAGGCAGGGTCAGGACAGGCAGAGCACCTCAGTCAGGGTCAGGACAGACAGAGCACTTCAGGCAGGGTCAGGACAGGCAGAGCACCTCAGGCAGGGTCAGGAGAGACAGAGAAACGACAGAAAAGGTCACCCCATACATGACACAGGACTAATATAGACACGGCCATCTCACGCACATCTGGCAAAGTATGTGTCTTTACTTGGTACAGCTTTCTCTCCAAGGTCATCCATGGAAATATACGTGGCGCCCTACACCAACAGACGTCTTGAATACATGCAGAAGGCGCGCAACCACAGACTGCACGCAATATGAGAGAAGACGAAGATCTAGCACGGGCCACGGCTTGGGCTTACCCAGCTGTGCCTGGCCCGGGTCCTTGACAAACATGTCGCGAGTGGCGGCGGCCGGCGCCGTCTCGCGCGCCACCAGCGCGGCGGCGGCGCGCGACGGCCGGTCGTATAGCGTCATCAGCAGGCCGCCGCCGATGCCGGCCGACTGGGCGTTGATGACGCCGATGCAGACCAGGGCTGCCACAGGCCGCGTCCACAGCCGTGCCGTTGCGGCGCAGCATCGTCCTGCCAGGCGGCGGCGGGAGGGGGCACGTCAGAGGTCACTCGCAGTGCGACGGCAGCCGTGCAGTCCGCATCTGGCCCTTCGCAGGAGGTCAACCACGCTTCTCGTGGACCAAACACATCACAGAGTCTCGATAAAATGTTCCCAGATGGCCAGCCAGTGGAAAATTACACCGCAAGACCAAGAGATAGCATAGACCGATCGCAAGATCATGATATGGTGTGTACATGATGTAAACCCAAACGGAGACTTTGACTATTACTTGCTAGAAGTGTATCACGCCATGTTTAATTCTACGGAACACATAAGGGCCGATCTCGGCACACGTCCCTGAAACATCTCGGCACTTCCCTGACACACTCACACCCTGGTCTCAACACACTTCCCTGAAACATCTCGGCACTTCCCTGGCAGTCACACTCCGATCTCAACCCACCGCTCCCGTACGCTGGCACCCAGTGTTGGCGCCCTCCCACGAGACACTCACAGTCCTATCTGGGCGCACTCGTCGGCGTCGGCGACGATGGCGGCGTGCTGGAACTGTTTGAGCGGCGCTGCCGACGGCGCCGGCCGCCTCTCCAGCGGCGGCGCGCTCTGCGCGAGCGGGTTCATGTTCGGCAGGCCTGGGGCGAACCGAGGCACGCTGAGGCGGAGCGCTCGCCGCGCGAGGAGGCCGCGGCGATCAGCTCAGGGGTATGGCTTCAGCGGAGTCGCGTTCAACGTGTGACGTTGGACGCGGTCTGCGTAACACATCGGCTTTCTGGCTCCGGCGATCTGAGAGGCTGTCTACAGCGTTATTTAGATGACCGAGAGCTATGGCCAGGCAAAGCTTCACCTACGCTCACGCCTCTTCATGTACAAACATCCGATCAACGGCGCAGTGCAATACAAAGCCGGGCAGACGTCTTTGATGAGTTGTGATTGGTGATTGATGGATTCATGATAGCCAGTGATGGATGCTGATTAGTGCGGAGGAGGGCGATGCTTTATATTTCTACTTACCGAATCCCAACGATAACGCTATGGAGGTAATGCATAGAATGAGGAGAACTCCCAGTATTACGATATGGCTCCTCTTCACCACACACCTGAAACAAAAAATAATGTCAGCATTTTAACGTTTCCTGTCCGACACAGTGCAACTCAACAACGTGCACATATAGTCGCATACTCAAGCCGAGCTAACCGTTTACCCGATCGATTTATGCTATTGGTCGTTTAATGCCTACATCCCTCATTATCTCTCCTTGAAAAACATGCTCGTATCCATGGACAACTCGTGCAACGCTGAAGCATCTTGACACGAACAGTGGCACTATCTTAACCCTGGCAGTTGTTTTTAATTGAGCTCCAAGAGTTAAGACCGTCCCGCAATTCGAAGAAGTGATATCATATTCGGTGATGGTTATCAAGATCTATGCCATGTGTGCATGTCATTGACATTTTAAAATGTCAGCCTGCCAAAACCGGTCAGACACCGGCATCATGACTGCTTGGAATCCCAAAGGTCCTGTTCCGAGCAAACCTTGAGCACGGATTATTCCGCCCCACTCCCTGTTCGCCCGTGCTCCGCAAACAATGAGCTCGCTCACTTACGGTTCCGCGCTCCCTATCCGTGGAGCTCACTCACTTACGGTTTCGCGCTCCCTACCCGTGGAGCTCACTCACTTACGGTTCCGCGCTCTCTACCCGTGGAGCTCACTCACTTACGGTTTCGCGCTCCCTACCCGTGGAGCTCACTCACTTACGGTTCCGCGCTCTCTACCCGTGGAGCTCACTCACTTACGGTTTCGCGCTCTCTACCCGTGGAGCTCACTCACTACGGTTCCGCGCTCTCTACCACGTGGAGCTCACTCACTACGGTTCCGCGCTCTCTACCCGTGGAGCTCACTCACTTACGGTTTCGCGCTCCCTACCCGTGGAGCTCACTCACTTACGGTTCCGCGCTCTCTACCCGTGGAGCTCACTCAGTTCGGGTCCCGCGCGCCCTACCGATGAATTCGGTGATAGTAATTCAGTTCTCCCACTCAGTTCGGGTCCCGCGCGCCCTACCAGTGGATTTGGTGATAGCAATTCAGTTCTCTCGCTCAATTCGGGATCCGCGCTCCCAACCTATGGCGAGGAGGCATCTGCCTATATAGTGAACAAACTGAACTATGACCTATGGCGAGGAGGCATCTGCCTATATAGTGAACAAACTGAACTATGACCTATGGCGAGGAGGCATCTACCTATATAGTGAACAAACTGAACCTATGGCGAGGAGGCATCTGCCTACATAGTGAACAAACTGAACTATGACCTGGGCCCAGGCTGGCCAGAATTTTGAAACTGATATATGACCAACACCGCTTCCAAAGTTTCTTTAAAATCCCTTCAACGATGCCTTTCCTGCAAAACGGTCAGTCACAGAATAAAAGTCCTTCTTTCGAATATTTTCCTCCGGAGCTCCGGCCGGTCGTCGGCGGCCACCGCCCCAGCCCGGCTGCTGCCGGTCTAAGGCAGCCGCCACCCGCCCGACTGACAGAGGGCTGATCGTCTGACTGTCTTGGCTGCATGCTTTGTGGACAGGCAGCATTTCTCACTGGCGTCTAAAATAGGTGGGACGCCAGCTGTAGAACTTGCCACTGAGCTACTTACCCGCCGCCCCGCCACAGCATTATACAAAATCTCGAAGAACTAAGTGCTTAGGAACGTTTGGTCCACCGAGCATTCACTCGCCCCTCGTCCAACTCCACCGAGCATTCACTCGCTCCTCATCCAACTCCATCGAGCATTCACTCGCCCCTCATCCAACTCCACCGAGCATTCGCTCGCCCCTCGTCCAACTCCACCGAGCATTCACTCGTCCCTCGTCCAACTCCATCTAGCATTCACTCGCCCCTCGCCCAACTCCACCGAGCATTCACCCGCCCCTCGTCCAACTCCACCGAGCGTTCACTCGCCCCTCACCCAACGTCACCTGATTGGTCCCCTTTTGCGTGTGGGACGAAGGTGCAGAGTCCAGATTTTTCCCGGACAAGCTGCGTAAATCCGTCGTAGCGTTTGACGTAACCCGGCATTTCAGGAGAAAATTAGGCGTTTCATTTACTGTCAGCCGTTTCACATAACCCTTCGGTAAGATTAACACACCGCCATCTGACGGAATAGATAAAGTCAAATGCCTTTGAGGCTGCGGGCATTTATGTGATCACCAGTCTTTACGCTAGTTCACGATGGAGCTGATGTTTCATAAATGACCACCATTACTCATTGAGCTTTCCGTCTCATACGATGGGACTCTGATTGTCCTAACCTCCTCAAGAGCCGATCGTACGGTTCTCAGCCGTGCCAAGCTGCGATCGGCCATTTGTTGCATAGTGCCAGACTCAATTTCGGGGCCGGTTCCACGCGTACACGGCGATCATATCACGCTGCCGGGGCAGGCGGGTCGCCAAAGGCGGCTGGTTTGACAGTAACAGGTGACGTAGCGGAGGCGGGATAGCCCGGTCCAAGCAGGAGACACTAAAGGTGGGATCGTCGAAATGGGCGAAACAGAAGTCCCGAACCTGAACCTCAAATCTAGAAACAGTTAGGAACGACATAAAAGAAAAGGCGAGAAAATGAAAACAAACAAAAATAAGAAAAAAAGAAAGTTCTTTCAAAAAACTAGTTTCTTTTTTGTGGCTAAACACAAACACCGCTGAAAAATGGAAGGGCAACAAGCTTCTTCGAAACCCTGTTAGCGTGCGGCGAACAAACTTTGCCGTTTGTCTGTCTACTGGTTGACACGGGGTGCGGAGTCAAGACGTGCAGACGAACGCAGCGCGGCATTTGACGCTCATGATTTTGCACTGTTTTGCCCCTGCTCTGAACGCCCGCCTGATGAAAACACTCGCCCCTGAAACGAGAACTTGAACGAGTCACGAAATGCCTGCCGAAAACTCACGACATTCCGATGGCGGTCGTTAGCCCGGTGGATACCAGTGGCTACCAGTGGCTGCTCGGACTTTGAATGAGTCGTGCACTTTAAACGGAAGGGGATCACACGGCCAACGTTTGAAGCGTTCGCAGGCATCCTGTGAAACGCCCAGCATTCGCCAGGTATGCCGGACCACACCAAACGCCTACGACATATCCATCTTGCACAAAACGAGCTTATCCCAAAGACACTATGAAACATGGCACCTTCAGCGGACAGGCAGAAGAACAAAGGCTATAGACAGACAGAGCGTAGCTTTGGGTTATAGAGTGTGCTGGAGTTTGTCTTAAAATTTCTTCATCCGGCCGCTGCACATGGAACGATGTAATATTGCCATGTGCAGGATGAAGTAATGCTGCCCGATGCGCATCGAGAAAGATGCCCGATGGGATGCGTATATCAACATGCATGCTCTAAGTAGCACAAAAGTTGAACACGGATCGATTCTGAACAAGCGTGAAAAGTACGGGGCAGCTAACATGGCTGGCCCACCCACCTTAAAAAGTGGGGTGCCTTTGTCTCCTTGCCCCCTCCTCCACTGCTCCTACACCCACGTGGTGAGTGGAGCTTACTCCGTGCGTCTGTGCGGCGCTCGCGAGGCCGCCCATGCGGTGTTCGTCCCACGACCATCCGTGTGCAGCAGCGCGGCCTGAACACCCCGTCACGGTACACCCCGTCCGAGACGGCCTCAGCGTGCGCACAGGACGACACGGCCGCCGCCGACCCTGCCCAGGTCTGCTGGCGTCGCAGCGCTGCCAGCGACAGCTGACCCCGCCCAGGTCTGCTGACGTCATAACGCTGTCAGCGACGGTCGACCCTACTCAGGTCTGGTGACGTCGCAGTGCTGCCAGTGACAGCCGACCCCGCTAAGGTCTACTGACGTGGCGCTGCCAGCGACGGTCAACCCTGCTCCGTGCTGATGACGTCACAGCGTTACTTCTGCCAGCCGGCACTCAAGATTGTACATGTCCTTGACGATTGGCATCGTCGCAAACAAGCTGTGCTAAACAAACAATACGCTTTGTAACGCAACGCCTGTTGAAATGGCGGACGGGTGCGATGTGTGCTCAGAGTGGTTGCATGAAGCGTACCTTGTCGCCCGTCAGGACGATTGGGGGATGCGGAAGGTAAGGCAGAGGTGGCAGCGGCCTCCCAACTCCACTGAAAACTGGCGCAATTCTGACATTTTACCGTGGGAATGTGCTCATTCGGCTCTCCCAAGCTTAGCCACATCACGATTTCTCAGTGCAAACACTGGTCCTCAGCAACGGTTACCATGCCATTAACCAAGTAGCCAGTACGCAAATGACGAAGTAGTTACCAATAACCGGTTTACAGTACACTTCCGTGGCAGTGCTGTCACCCAACTCGAAATAAACCGATTAATGAAACGCAGCAGCTTTGTACTGATGCGGGGACACCGGAGGTTCTCCCAAGTGGTGAAGCCTGTAATGATCTTTGATCGTTTCACTCGATTCAACACCCACGTGCACAATAATATCTTTACAAAATTTACGCTCCCCTGTAATGCAGAAACCAAATGTGTGTGACAGGACGTGCTATGCCATTTCCTCCAACGGGTAGCCGACTCCTGGTGCGTCCGCGGACTTGTGTGCGGGTACGTCTGCTCGGGGGCTTAGGGAGCATCGCCGCAGACTGATACCGTAATCCCACCTGAAGTGCATAGCCAGTACCCTAACCAGGCAGTGTCACCGTAGGTGCGGGATCTGCCCCGCGCGCCCAGCGGAAGTGTGGCCGCGTCATCGCTGTCCACTTGACCCCCGACGTCCGAGCCGAGGCGGCCAGTAGCCGCCTGCCAGGTTTTGGTGCCGCGGCGCCGAACCATCGCCGGCGGTGCCGAGCTGAAGGGATGCTGGGGATCCCCTCACCGCATGCCGGTGATGACGTGCACCAAGGAAGTGTTTGTCGCCATTAATTGCATTGCAAATCGGTACCGACTACAGGAAACCAACCTTTGTCGGCTACAGACCTGCACCCTCGCATGCGGGCTGATGGTGGCGCGATGACCGTACCTATATATATATATATATATATATATATATATATATATATATATATATATATATATATATATATAGGTAGTCACAGCGTTGAACCGGCAGCGAATAGTAAAAATCTGGGTCTCCGAGCGTTACTTTGTCCCCATGCTTTGGGAAGCTCGCCTGGGCGGTCGGGAACGGGAGACAGCTGTAAGCAGGACCCCGCGTCTTGTACTGCGGGTCTATGTACACGCAAACTGGGCACTCCCGTCCGGTCCGCACTTTCCCAAACGCCAGCCACTCCCGGCCGGGTCCCATTTTCCCAAACGTCGCTAGTCACACCAGGCAAGGCACCGTTCGCTGGCGCGACCGCTGCCGCCGCCGGACGGCGGCCAGCCAAGCACCTGTCTGCCCCGGCACCGGTGTACCTGTTGGTGATCCTGGACTTGGGCGGCGTGTCTTCAGCTGAGCGCGTCGGCAGGTCCATGTTCCAGTCTGTGATCTGGCTGTACGAGTTCTGGGCGCTCCTCCAGCTTGCGCTTCTTGCGCGCGTGCTTGCGCTCGCTCTTGCTGGGGTTGGACGACGGCATGGCCGAGTCCAGTCAGTCAGCCCACACGCGACCACCTGGGCGTGTCCGCGCGCTCTGCGGCCCCCACACAACGGCTCCAGGCGGGTGCGCGGCGGCTGGGCGCTATGGCGGCGGTCCACCGGCCGGTCCACCTGGCGTACTGCGCCGCCGGCTGCCGCCTCCCGCTCACCTGGCGGTGCGCCGCCCGCGCGCGCCGGCGCGTCACGCGGCCGGCGCCCGTTCCAGGCGCCATGCCACCGGCTACGGCTTCGGTCCCGCCGGCCCTGGCTTCGTACGCGCCGCTCTACGCATGGAAAGGCGGCGCGCCGGGCGGGCCGCGCGCAAGGTCGCCCGCGCGGGAAGAGCGCGTGGTGACGAAACATGCTTCGATGAAGACGGCCGGGCCAGGTCAGAGACCAGTGTATTGACAGAGTGCACACGTGGGTGCTCGTCAATTATTGATCCCGTTGTTTAATGTCACTAGCCATTCAGATGTCAGCGCCGGTTGCTGGCGCGATGCCGTGGCAGCTCACCGCGCCCAATTATTAAAAATTATCCAGTTGGCTTTATCCCGCACCTGCCCCAAGATGGAACCATCGAGTGTCTGATGGAATGACACCCAGCTCCCGGCGGCAGGGGCTGACAGGGGCTGACAGGTGTCTGGCTGGCTATCCGACGGGATGACACCCAGCTCCCGGCGGCAGGGGCTGACGGGTGTCTGGCTGAGTGGCTGACGGGATGACACCCAGCTCCCGGCGGCAGGGGTTTGGCTGTTGTCTGGCTGAGTGTCTGACGGGATGACACCCAGCTCCCGGCGGCAGGGGTTTGGCGGTTGTGCGGCGGAGTGGCTGATGGGATGACACTCAGCTCCCGGCGGCAGGGGTTTGGCGGTTGTCTGGCGGAGTGTCTGACGGGATGGCACTCAGCTCCCGGCGGCAGGGCTGGCAGGTGTCTGGCTGAGTGTCTGACGGGATGACACCCCAACTTCTCGGCGGCAGGGCTGGCAGGCGTCTGACGGAGTGGTCTCACGGGATGACACCCAGCTCCCGGTGGCAGGGGGCTGGCAGACGTCTGGCTGAGTGTCTGACGGGATGACACCCAGCTCCCGGCGGCAGGGGCTGGCAGGTGTCTGGCTGAGTGTCTGACGGGATGACACCCAGCTCCCGGCGGCAGGGGTTTGGCGGTTGTCTGGCTGAGTGTCTGACGGGATGACACCCAGCTCTCGGTGGGCAGGGCTGGCAGGCGTCTGGCTGAGTGTCTGACGGGATGACACCCAGCTCTCGGCGGCAGGGCTGGCAGGCGTCCGGCTGAGTGTCTGGCTGAGTGTCTGGCGGGATGGCACTCAGCTCCCGGCCGCGGTGTCTGACAGGCGTCCGGCGGAGCACGACCGTCGACTCCTCGGCGGCGGTGAACGCCCGCTAGCTCCGGAAGTCTTGAGAAGCCGGCTGTCCGACCCAGCGCCTCAGCTTAGCTCTAACCTGAGCTCCATCGAGGCCTGGTGCACATACGATGGCACGCTCGCATGACTGGACAGGCTCAGCCGGCACTGTGGACGCAGCGGCCGGTGCCAGCCAATGATTTGGGAGGGTTCTTTGGCTACCAGTGGACTCCTTCCTTCGGAGAGAAAAGGAAGTGGCCCCCTGAACGGAATACATTTCTCTACAAAGTGACAGCCTTCATAAGCGCCAGTTCTGACTTCCCGCCCCTCCCTCAAGGATGATCGGGTCAAAGCAATAAAAGCTTTTGACAATGCAAATGAGCTGGTGATGAGATTCCAGTAGTTGCACGCTTCAGCTACAAACACACGTATGGAAAGTTTCAAAACAAGTAACCGCACATTGATGGCATGGGTGACGATTTCACAATTTTTTTGGAAGGCAGAGTGAAAATCGTCAAGAAGGGTCATGAGGTCGAAAAACTCCTGGGATTTCGGCCACTATATGTTCCAAACACCGCATCTTTAATATCTCCCATATTCTCCTTCCGGTGGCGCAATCACGCCGTGGCTTTGGGAGTTATTCCTTGGCTTTTGGCTGGCTACTCCCTCACAAGTGGGTCCCGAGCAAAGCTCTCCCCCGATCTCCAGCCAACAGTGCTTATTCATAATGAGTGAGCGAAGGAAATGGGCGAGTTAACGTAATCATACAGGCGAGACCAACTCCGAAGACGTATTGCTCGTTTGCTCGTCTGTTTGCATGAGACTCGTAAATTTGCAACGATCCCGAAAACGTATTGCATCGACTGACAGAGCCCCAGAATACATGCCTAATTATGCTGTGTGAGACATCAGAGAATGATTTATTCATGCCAACCACATAAAAAA